GACTACCTGTGCTTGTCTATGTCCTACCTAATAACTAGCTGTGTGGACTTGGACAAGTTACATTGTCTCTCTGTGCCTCAGTTTCCATATTTATAACACAGGGACAAGAGCAGTGCTCATTTCATAGTATCACTATAAGGTTTTGATGAGGTAATATATATAAAGCACCTAAAATAGTGTCTGGCATATATTTAGTGTTATGGGTTGAACTGTGTCCACCCAAAAGATATATTTAAGTGCTAATCCCTGGAACCTGCAAATGTGATCTTTTTTGGAAATAGGAAGTAATCAGGTTAAGATGAGGTCACACTGTATCAGGGTGGGTCTTAATCCAATATGACTGGTGTACTTATACGAAGAGGAAAATTTGGTCACAGACACAGAGGGAACATGGCCACGTGAAGACAGAGACAAGGGTTGGAATTATGTTGCCACAAGCCAAGGAGTACCTGGAGCTACCAGAAGCTGAAAGGGGCACGGAAGGAGCCTCCCTAGAGGCTTGGGAGGGATTGTGACTCTGCCAACACCTTGATTTTGGACTTCGAGCCTCCAGAGCTGTGAAAAATAAATTTTTGCTGTTTTAAGCCACCCAATTATGGTACTTTGTTATGGCAGTCCTAGGAAATGAATTCAGTCATATTTAGTTAATTAGTTATTATCGGACATTGGTAAAGGCCAATTATAATATTTAGGCTTTGATCTATACTGTAAAGAAATAATTATGTTTGCTCACAGCCCAATCTCACATTCCTACATTTCATGCCTTTTCAAATATTCAGGAATTGAGCTCAAGCTCATTAGACAAAGTTCAACTCTGGACCATATGAAAAGTTTGGAACATAGAGAAGTGAATGGCATGCAATGTATTCAGAAAACATAGCTTTTTGACGTTTCAGAAAGAAAGAAATAAACAACATGTTTTCAAGGTTATACTAATTCAACTATGCCATAACTGTTCTAGAAATATGGAAGTCATTTTGCATCCCATTCTGATAACAGATCTAACAAGATTAAAATTTCTTTGTAAAATCTTATTTCTAAACAGAAACTATAGCCAATTAACATCTGTAGACTTCAATATATTAAAAATACCATTATTTAATGCTATGTAGAGAGAAATCCAAGTAAGTCTCAAATGCCTTGAAAACCTTCATTTAAAATCTTTAGTTTTTGAAAGAAGAGCTAATTTTCAATGTGTCTCCAAAGCATTCTAAAATAACTGCAGACAGCAACTGAGAGCAAAGCTAGAAATTAGCTGACCAGACGAGTGTTTGATGTGCTACCTACCACCCTTAGTCCCTGGGCAGGGGCCCGTCACTATGTCTCCAGTCTTTAGAGGACTCTGCTGTGGTCCTCCTCACAATCTGAGCATCCCTTCCTCCAGAATAAGATCCTGGTACCCAAATGCAAACCCCAAAATTTCCTGCCCAAATGGCCCTAGGCCCGCTTCCAGGACTCACATGGTTGTCTTCTCAAGGCCTCAAGGCTGTCCAAGGCCTCAAGGCTGGGTTGGTGAAGAGTGTGTGGATGAAGTTGGGACATGCCATCTGGGCTGTCCTCAAGTTCACACTCAAAGTGAGAAGTTGGGAAGGGAAGGGGTGGATCCCAGGCAGGAGACCAAGGCTTAGGTCTCCCTGTGCCACCATTTTCTGGCACAGAACAGGTTTTGGATCTGAGCGTTGTAAATTTTACTCCTGCCTTCCAGGTATATTCATCAAAGCAGGAGCACAGACTATGCTTTAACAGTTTCTAAGCTTGATTCATAATATTTATACATATACATGAAGCTCTCAATTTATTTTTGCTCCAGGTCCCAGGAATGTTAGAGGGCCTAGTGGTATTACTGAAATTTAATCACTTATTACCTGCAAAACCTTTTTAAAATGCTTGAAGCTACTTCTCAATAAACATTTGATGCATAGAAAACAGCTATTTCACATTTAACTGTCATAAAAGGAAAAATTATAATGGAAGATACTATGAGAAAAATATAATGTGATATATTTGTTGGGGGTCAAAAAGGTAAATTTGTCAGGAGTCATAGGAAATTAATAAAAACAGAACTGGATGATCTACAAAGCACAACATACTAATTAATATTAATTTAAATATCCACATTTCTGAAAAGGTCACTTCTTTTAAATATAAGTAAAATATTTTAAGTAATTATTACAGAAATTTTAAGAAATAATTTCTGTTTATAGATGATCAGAGATAGAGTCTAATTTTTCCACTCATTTTTCCTTTCCTTGCTTGAATTTTGGTATTTCCAGCCTAAAATTGGGTATATTGACTAGCAGTATATTCTTGAATGGTGCATAAATATATTAGCCATATAATAAAACAATGACAACTATCATAACAAAAAATGTCTTATAATCAAAAGATTTTTAAACCTGTGATTTCTTAATAATCAATACCACAAAATTATTGTATGAGAATTCTGAGTGATGGGTTAAAGCTGCTGACCAAAATGAGCTTTCCTATTAAAATGAACCAAAAAATAGCAAGAATCACAGTAAAATTAAATAAATGGCACATGAATCATTTTTTACATGGGTGATTTCAGAGCTCTTGCCAATTCTTATGACTTGGCTTGAGTCAATACACACCATCAGCTGTGGAAGCTAGAAATGGAGCAATAGGAATCCCAGACAAGTACATCTTTGAGTAATAAATTTCTTTGGTGATGCTCTAGCCATAATCAGCCTTCTTCCCTGCTGCAGACAAGCTACGGTGAGCTGTAGTGCTGTGTTGGTACAGAGAAGGATGGGTTTCAAATGGCAGCATACCCCTGTCAGGTTCCTCCAGGGCTGTCCATGCACGGATTAGTTCACAGCATGTCTATTACACACTTACACTTACATAGTACTGTGTCTTTTACCTGTGATACTCTAAATGTCAAATGAGTAGCACAGATGATATATGTTGTGAGTTCATAGGAAGAAAAAAATGTTGAGAGTTAGACACTAATCATATTATCTAAGTTAGAGCCCCCATTCTCATTTTTATATCTATAACTTTTGGAAATTTTAATATAGTGAGGGGTAGATTTTCAAAGTCACTGTAGGATGTGATTCAAAGCACAGGTTTTGGAATCTTATATATCAAAGAATCTAATCCCAGTGCTAAATTTTACTAACTGTGATTTAGGCGTGTTACTTTAATTCTCTAAGTCACAGTTTCCATATGTGTAAAATGGTATAAAATAAAACCTATTTTTATAGAATTGTTGTGAAGATTAAAATACATAATGTTTTAAAAATAGGTTACTAAGTAATAGAGGTTTATTTTTTACTGTAATTTTACATCTTTAGACACTGTTACAAAGTATGTTTGTATATGACAAAGCTTATTATATTTTTCCTAAGTAGACAAAATTCAGTAGCTCTCATATGCTGACTACAAAGTTTAATTTTTGCATATTTTAATTAGTTTCTGAAGGTCATCACAATTCATTTCTATTTTATTTAATTATTAGCTTCTATAATATTGGTCCAAGAAGAATCCAGTAGTGATATATAAATGGCCTATGATATTACTGAATTCTCTACTGAGTAACTGAATTTACCAGTGACTAAACTCAAATTCAGGGAGAAAATATCTTTATTATTCCTTCCAGGCCGATATAAAATGGAAAATTATAATTGAGTGGCAATTCAGCTATTATACGACAATAGATTCCAAGAACACAGACATTATGCAATAATCATCCTGGTTAATATTATGCCTTTTTAATGAAGCTCTCCATTATGGCTAGAACCCAAGAACTTCATTAAAACCACTGGTTATATTTGTGGTAGAAAGCAAAGAAGAAAGAGAGCCCTATAGCTTTCCTTTAAAGACCTGGACATTTTATTATACAGTTCTCAATTTTTATATTTCTTTTCTATGATGCTACTGTAAGCTATGACCCTTGCCACTCCCGGTGCTGCTGTATACAGCTGTCCAGGTGGTGTATTGCACAACTCCAGGAGGCTCCATGCACGTAGACTATCATGAAAAGCCCCTCAGACTTGTAAAGTTCACAATCTGCAAAACTACATGAGGTATCCCTGGCTCCCTACTTCTACTCCATAATGGACTTCTTGTATTAAAAACTAAAATTCTATGATCTCAGCTCTGAGCTAAATGAGATCAAATTTCAAGCATGGCTTGAAATTAGAATATGGCTCATCTTCAGCTTTTCTAGATAGATTCAAGTATCTGAAAATTCAGTTAGAATCACAGGTGGGTTTCATATGAGACCTTAAAGTAGCAGACATTGCTGGCTTTTGATTATACGAGATGAGAATAGAAGTAGGATTATGATTATAGCTCAGTTTATACAGCCCACTCGTGGGTGGCCCCATGAAACCAAAGAAACAAGCAGTAGAAACTATAGCAGATTCTGGAAAGGAGGAGAATAAAGCAGTGAAAAATAATATTAAAAAGTACTGTTGGTTGTGAGTACTTTATAGGTGACTTTTAGTCTTTTCCAGCATACTTCGAGGTGGGTGTTGTGGGCAACCCTGGCCTAAACTAAGAGTTCTGCCTAGGAGTCTGACATTTATTCATAAGGGAACACACTTCTGAGCCTTTGGTTTCCTCTGTCTGTCTGCCAATGACATTTAAAACATCTGTCTAGCAAACCCAACCTGGAATAGTGGACATGCATCTGTCCTTTGTAGTAGAATCACAGAGCTTTGTTGTTGTTGTTCTAATACAGCTCTGCTTAAAGTTTTCATTTCTAACCCCAGATGGAATTCTGACTCTGAGACTAGAATGGGAACAGAAGCCAGAATCATTTGCGGAGAATCAAACATTCCTGCATTTGAACATTTTCTTTGTCTTAAGGAGTGCAATTTAACCCCAGGTGCATCAAATTAAAGTTGTGTATGCAACACAACTTTATAGTAAGTCTTCCTCAAGTACGAATGAATGTATGTTGAGTAAACATCCCCTAAAGATCCCATTAAAATGTAAACATGAAAGAATGAGCAATACAGCTGTGGTCTTACCATTTGCCTTGTGCTGTACATCTGGCGGAAGCTGGTCAAGAGCATACCACTGATAGTCTGGCTGTGTGGAACCATAAAACATTATTACAGCAATATGGACTTCAAACAAAACATACAGGCACATTAAAAATATAATTATGCTATGTGGTTTTTATTAAGCAGCCAACACAAAAGTAATTTCTATCCAAACCTGTGGCCAATCTTGCTCGTCCGTCTTACCTCCCACATCAGTACCACCATCTCTCCCTACCCCCTCCTAAATTCACTGCACGTTTGGCCAGAATTTCTACTACTTTGGGATTGTGGCATGTTTGCTTTTTTTTCTTTTTTTTGGAAACAGATGTGTTTTGGATATCTGCAGAAGTATAAACGCTTTTGTAAAACTTACTATAGCCCATAAATAAAACAAAGCAATTTACTATCAACAAATAGTCTTTATAAAACCCTTACACTGGAGGCAATGAGAAGGCCAGGAAAAAAAATACAGGTTTAGTTTTTCTAGTGGTTGAAGGAAGAAATCTAAGCTATTAAATGGAGACATGGTGTATAGAAATTGAGGATGGTGAAGCAGAATAAATCTTTCCCTTCGTACCGTTCCTTGGCAGAACCTATTCTCTAAATTGTACAGATAGTTTAGACTAGACAGACCAGATTTTTCTCTTGGGATTTTCTCCTAGGTTTACACAAGTTAAGAACAGCTAGATATTGAATATCAGGGAACACCTGAAACAAATTGCATTGAATAAATAATAAGCAATAGACCTAAATTGTCAAGATAGCTCCAAGGCCGGCATCTTTGTATTTAACCCTTTGGAATAAAGCAAACTCAGCTTTACCTGCCCACAAAGTAAGTCTGTCTCCCCACTCCAAATGATCACTCCTGCCTCTCACTTCCCCATAAGATATAGAAAATGGAGACCTTTTGTTCTATTATTCAATTATCTCCTAAAAATAACTCAAGGAAAATATCTCTGACAATGAGCCAACAGGGAGCATTTACAAGGCTGCCAGACCACTTAAAAGTAGCCTAAAAGTTCAATTATCTGACAAGACACTGAGAAATGCTGCTTTTAGTACAATCCAACCCCATTTTACCCCTACTCAGACACCTAGGTTCTTGGCTTCTTTCGGCCCATGAAAAAGCTAGAAGAGGAAATGAGATCACCTCTGTTTTTTATCTTCTCGTTTATTTTTAGATGTCTCAAATAACACGTAGGATAAGTGACGTAAGCCTCAGTTTTATATTCCAGGAGAGATGCCAAAAGAAGGTAAATATACTGTAATTTTACCAACATTATTGCATATGATTTAACTCAGGCTTAGATACAAAATATTTTAAAATTGACTCTGAGGGTTTTGTTGTAAATTCTACTGTTTATACTAAGATTTTGTTCAGTCGACTACTGCTTGAAAATGTAGGCCATTATGCATGGCTTGGAATCCTTTTTCAAATATAGACCTTTATTTGGTGATAATTTTATGTGATCTGGACTGCTGTGCCTCTTCTAATTGACAGGAAAGTTTGATTCACTACTATAAGTAGGTCAATTCCTTCCTTCTTTCCATAAATAAAGATTTGACAAAACAGTCACTTTTATTCCTAGATAAACATAAATGACTCATTGGTTTTATGGTTTACCTTTCTCAAGAATATTTCTCTAATTCCCCAGCAATAAGAGCTAACTTCTAGGTAAATTTCCATCTCTTTGGTTCCCACAGTCTTAGTTTTTGTCTACATCTTTAAAAAAATATATATAAGAAATGAGAATCATGTTTAAAGATTCCCAGAAATGCTTCTGGTAAAGACTGAAAAGTAGCAAAAGAGATAAAATAAAAAATAAAAAAAAAATAAATAATTTTTTTAAAAAAGGAAATGGGGGAGGGAGAGACAGAACCAGTGACTGCCAACAACATGAAAGAACAAAATTCTCAGCAGTATGCTGTGTCATACCAGGATGAAATAAGAGATGCTCATTTGCTCATTAAATCCCGACAAGCTTCTGCCACCCAAAGAATCACATCTTCTCCCTTGAGAAAATGGCTTTGGGTCACACTCAAATGCAAAAGTAGGAAAGTTTTCAGGCAACTAAGAGGCTCATATTCTCTATAAGCTCTTTGCTAGGAAAATCCCAGTTAAAGTCTCAGATTTTTTGCATAATTAGAAACACAGCTAATAAAAACCAAGGGGTATAGGGAGTTGTCTGAGAAAATCCAAAATGCTGAAGAATGCATAATTTTTTTTCCTGGATAAAGATTCTATCTATGTAGGGAAAATAGACCGTAGAGGCAAGCATCTGAGTCATGGATCATGGAGGTGGGTGGAATACTGCTACTGAGAAGGAAAAGAAGGGTACTTTGGGTCTAACTTGCTCAGATATACTGTCCAAATCAATTCCACTCACAAATAATTGCTCAACTGTTCATTTCATTTTGCCTGGGTAGACACAGCCATGGAGAACAACTTAAGTGGGTCACTTTTTCTTGGATCCTTTAAGAAAATCCTTTCAATTGACAAATGTCAAAAACTATTTTGCACATATGTAGCAATATATATATAGTAGTTTAATATAAGTCTACAATGGGAAAAAAAGCATTTCATTTGTTTTGCTATATCCACTTTGCTTTTCTTCATACAGGAAAATGTCCTTTGGGTGGAATCAGGTATGCCAATTGAAAATGACCCATATCAGATGTTATAGGTTTCATTTGTTTTGCTATATCCACTTTGCTTTTCTTCATACAGGAAAATGTCCTTTGGGTGGAGTCAGGTATGCCAATTGAAAATGACCCATATCAGATGTTATAGGGTTGTTTGAGGAATTATAGCTCTATTTGGTACCTTCCAGTCAATTTATTCATATCTATGTGTCCTGGGGACTCACTGTCCCAAAGATGATTATAATGTATGTTTACCACTCACTGAAACTTTATGAATTAGATACTGAGAAAAAAAGTGGCTCTTTCTGTAACCAATATTATGTGCCAAAATTCCAGAGGTACACATAATTTTTACCAAAAGAGGATACTAAGCATGTATTGAAATGGGAACTCTTACTTACCGTGTGCTCCTGTTGATCCTGCACAGCCCGAAGGCCTGTTGTTACCTGTGCATCCCGCAGGGGGAAAACCAAGTTGCAGTGGCAGGTTGGAAAACACATCTGGGGAGAATAATGATGTCAGTTCTCTGGCAGTGGCTGAAATTGGGGAGTCACATTGACACTTGCTTTACACAACAAGGTTTGGCTTGAATCTTAAAGTTTAGCTTAATCTGGCATAATTCTAACTCAAAATAGTAAATATGTCAACACAGACTCAGCTTCATGTTACATTCTCATCAGGAATGCACCAAGGTTCCAATTTCTCTACATCCTCACCAACACTTGTTATTTTCTGTTTTTTTGTGCTTTTTAAAAAAATAGCCAACCTAATGGGTGTGATCATTTATTTTTACACATGCGTTCATTATACTAACAGTCTTTTTTAATGATGAAACTTAAAAATAGAAAACTTGAAGAATGAGGCAAATATTATATAATCTATATTTTAAAATAAATTTTATATATTGTTTCTTTTTTGTCCTTTTTGAGACCGGCCGCACCGTGCTCAGCCAGTGAGTGCTGTGAGCACACCGGTCATCCCTATATAGGATCTGAACCTGTGGCGGGGGCGCTGCTGCCCTCCCAGTGCCTCACTCTCCCGAGTGTGCCACGGGCTCGGCCCTATATATTGTTTCTTAGGAAAAAAGAAATACAGATTCAGGACTGATACAGATGAGGCTTCCAGGCCAAATTTTGCCTAAGGCAGAACTTTATAGTGTGCCTATGGCTATATAGTCACATGCCACAAAATGATGTTTCAGTCAACAATAAACTGCATATACAATGGTGGTTGGAGCAGTAGGCATACCATATAGCCTGGGTGTGTAGTAGGCTATACCATCTAGGTTTGTGTAAGTACATGCTATGATGTTCACACGATGACAAAATCATTTCTCACAAAGTATCCCCATTGTTAAATGACACATGACTGCAGTTATTTCTCTATTTGGAAGAAATTAGAAACATATGTTAAGTATATACAGTTAACTTCATGTTTCTGAGTTAACTTTGTGGAGGATCTTCACTGAAGAAAAATCATCCATTAAGCCATAAAATAAGTTTTCTTAAATTGCATGGGACATGACTAAGACTTAGGGAGGAAATTAGGAATTAAAAGATATAATATTCATTCTTTAAGGCTACTAGAGAACCACTGGGATATGCTTCAATACCCAAGAAGACATTCTATTTTCTCAAAAGAGGCAGTCTTTGATGTAGTTGTCCAGTGCAAATTGTGCAAGCAATTGCAAGAAATACGAAGGATATGTATTTCCCAGGTGTTTGTGGGTCTGGGAAGAAATCTCCATTTGAGTGAATACACACTAAGGCTTGCACTACTGGTGATAAGCCCTGTAAGCATCTGTTTTTCATGAATGTTAGGGTTGAAGGGCCTTGTGGTTCTTAAGCACTATCTATCTATGGACATTTTAGTTGATAATGAAAAGCATGAGCTGTTCTAGGCCATATGTAGCAGAGCTTGAATATGTCTTTAACAGGGACCATGAGAAATGCTGTATGTGGGAATAAATGTGTGGGTGAAACTTAAAGTTGCCATTTCCACCATGACAAAAAGTATGGATCAACATACCTGTTTTAATTGCTTTTCTAGTTTTTCTTTCTCCATCTGACAAGTTTTTATCTATGGACAAAACAAAGGCATTGTTTTTTATGAAGAAGAATTCAAATTGTTAGTTTCAAAGCTACTCTTGACCCAGCTGGCAGTGACCTACTCAGAAGCCCAAGGGATGAGGCACCAATAGCAGTAATGCCAAAGAAAACAGTCATGTTTTGTTTTTACAGACATACATTGATTCTATCTTGATATTCTCAAATGAAGTTTGGAAAGTTGGATGATTTTAAATCGTTATTCTTATTTGTTGAGGCCATTACAATTCTCAGTTGTAGGTCGGATCTATTTAGATATAGAAAAAGAAACAGTTTCCATTGCTTACTGAATGAAATTGGAACTGGTCAGCCTGACATTCAAAGTCTTCCACAATTAATCTTAGAAGTTATATATGCACTTAATACGTGCCTGGACAACGTGGCACTAAATAGATCATGAAAAAGACACTCTTTACAGTATGAGAGCTGAAACAAGAAGGCAGAGTGTCACCCTGTTCAACCTCAGCTGGGAATGTGTGTGACAGGTGACTCAAGTTTCCCGAGCTGCTCATGTTCTTGAATGAACCGTGAAAGCACCACCAAGTATTAATTTTGGGATGACAAATACATTTTAGGGAGTAGGCAAATTCACAAATATGGAATTTGCAAATGATGAAAATAGACTGTATATGTCTCTTTCACTATACTGTTAGTGTTTAACAGTAAAGACCAGTTTTTTATTCCCTCTCAGCATATAGCAGAATGCCTTGCAGAAAGAAAACATCAAAATTTGATTACAAGGAACTGAAAGTAGTGCACCAGTTGTACAATTAAATGAAACTGTTAAACATGCCCCTTCTCATAGACTATAATAATTTATAAAATACCTTTGAGCCATGACTTGAGCTAGGTGATTTTACAATGGTTTTCTTCTCTGAGAATAACTGTGTGAAGTTATGGGTGGGTGTCATTATCCATATTTTACAGGTGAGCATATTAATAAAGGTTAGGTAACTTATTTTTAGAGACAGAGGTTTTGGAATTATTATTATTATTATTATTATTATTATTTTTTTTTAAAGATGACCGGTAAGGGGATCTTAACCCTCAACTTGGTGTTGTCAGCACCATGCTCAGCCAGTGAGCGAACCGGCCATCCCTATATGGGATCCGAACCTGGGGCCTTGGTGTTATCAGCACCACACTCTCCCGAGTGAGCCACGGCCGGCCCGAGGTTTTGGAATTATAAGAAACATTTTACAGATAAAGAAAGGGAAGCAGAGAAAACTTAAATAGTTTGCTCAAGGTCATCACCAGTCGAGCATCAGAGTAGGCAGGAATACCAGATCCTTTTTCGTAAATTCCTTCCACTCTACTTATCTTTCACTTTACCACATTGCCTATTTTACCATTACCATTGGCCTAAAACATCCTGAGTGATAGAATGGATACATTCTGGTATGTAAGCAACTAGTGCCAGAATGATTTGACCTAAAAATTCATTTTAAAGTCCATTTGGACAACAAATAATATGCTATTCAACTAAGGTAATGCCAATTGTCTTTATTATATCATGCCATTTAATCTGCTGTTAATACATTTAACATATATCACCAAACCATCTACTACGTCTCTTTGTAAATTTTATCATCTTTTTACTAGAGAGAATAAGACTTTTGAAAATTAAATGATTGGGTATCATTATTTTAAAGAAAATTTTTTATAGTTTTAAGATGTCACTTAGATATTATTAAGATTGTCCCTTAGTTTATAAGAACAATTATACTATACTATATTTAGATAATACGTTTATTATCTGATATCAATCAAAAATTACACTAGAGATGACACAGAAAATGACTTGCAGATTATAGTCTATAGTGTTAAGTAGATGGATATACATTCCTGGCCAGACTGAAAAGTTCTGTAATGGCAAGGATATTAACAATGCTAGACACCAATTTATCACCAATATGAACTTAATATAGTAGAATAAATAAAATTAAAATATGGCAGGAAGTAAAATAATTTGTTCAGTGACAACTTAAAAGAAAATTAAGGCAACTTTGAATGTAATAATAAATGAAAATTGAAAGAGTAATTTCTTCATCAAGAGTAATCAGAACATTTTCTCACCCATTGTTATATAAATTATCTATTAGCTCACATAAATTTTTTTCAGGAAATCATTTAATTACATTTTACCACTATTTCATCTCTTCTAATTTCTGGAGAGGAAATTATTCTGCCAAATATTTTTTCCATATAAAATTAGAAACTTCAAGTTGATCCCTGAAAAAATGTCAGAGATGAAATTAAATTCTCATCTACTTTGTATTTGGAAGAAGAGGATGAATAATAGTTTAAAATTTGAAGCTAAAGAGCTGCCACAGCATGTCCCACAACAATTTCCTATTTATTGAAAAGCATTGCATGATTTTGCAAATTAAAAATGTTGTGGTTCATTTTATTTTCTTAAGCCAAAATTGTGTTAGCCTCATTAACATCAGTGTTTATCCATCATGGCAACTTCCTGAGTCCATTCTAATCTATTCTATTACTCTTAATTTTATTGTGTTTACAGTTAACATATTCTATTTCATTAAACTGGTGACCATTGTCTGGCTTTCTTGAAAGTGCTCCAGTTACATTAAATCTGGGAACCTACCAAATAAAATCCTCGGTTCCACTAGACATATTAATGGCATTTAGAAACATGTATGTTTTTGGAAGACAAGAGCATTCCAACACAGTTCTTCAAAGAAAATGCCAAGAATTTAGGAACCACTTCACTTTGAGTACTAGACAGTTCAACTCCCATTCTACCAAGATAAATATTATGAGAAAAAGATCAAAAGAACTGTATTTTATAAAAGACTTTGGAATCCAATTGCTTGAGTAATTCCTTAATATACTTAAGTTAAAAGAAATTTCCAGTCATTTTCGTCTCCTTACAAGATTGTTTAAGAATGATTTCATCCCAGGTGCTGACCTTTCAAAAAAGCCAATGTCAATTAACAGAAGTTAAAAAGTCTTGAATTTTTTTAACATAACAAAGTATAAAATAAAATAACATGCACGTGTGTTGGCAAAGATTATTATTATTATTTTTTATTTGTACCTGAGAATTTAGCCTGTTCAACTGGGACTGAGAAGTTTGATTAATTTGCTGTAGCTCCTCTTTCTCTTGATTAAGTCTTTCTCGATCCGATCGCTCCTTTTTGAAGTCTTCTTCGTATATTTGCACCTAGGAAACATTAACTTGCTGTCACTGTTTGCTTTCTTTTCTCTTAAGCTATTTAAGTGATTTCAGAAAAGGTACTATGTGGGTCTTTCCAATCCCCTCTTTGCATGAATATTTCTTCATGATGGGAAAGAGAAATAGATATGACTGTAATTTTATCTTTCACTTTGTTCAGATGGACAGTTCTCAACTTTTTCCTCCTTGAGCATGTATCAGGAATTCAGAAGTAAAGTAACAATGTGTATAGGTTTTCCCCCTCAGCTGTTTTTCTGCTGCATACTGTATTACTGTGAAGAAGCCTCTCAACTAGTGTTAAGTGTTAACTGTTTTGGAGCAGGTCATCCATTCCCAACACAAGGGCTTTGATCTATGAATACTGTTTGAAGTTCTAAGACAGTTTACTGACAATAGCTGCTTGAATTTCTAAAAGACAGTTTATTGACAATAGCTGAGTGAAGCTACTAAATACTGACATGCCAAAGTTTTCAAATATAAATTATAAGTTGACTACATTAAGAAATGAAAGCTGATGTATGTGGAAAAGCAAAGCACACTTGCTAATAGGTATTCACAAGTTTTGGCCTTTATAAATAATTTTGGGGTATATCATAAAAAAGAAACATGTTGATATTTTAGTGGAATGCTTCTTTAAAGTCACTACAAATATTTCGGAAAAGTGACCAAACTAAAAAGAAAAACAGATTTCATTATTGTTGTTGCTTGTAAATGCCATAGTGTTGATGATGGCTTGGAGACTAGCATATAAAACTGAAAATAAATGAAACCTAGTGAATGCAGCAAAAGAATTCCTCTAAGATCATGATTTAAATTACTACTTATATTGGAACCTAGTAGTTAGATTTTTGTCTAACACTAATGCACATTGTGCCTTCATCAGTGCAACAAATTTTAAGTCAATAATAATAGAATAAAATGCAATAGGCAAGATAAGAAATTAAATATTTTATATAGACCTAAATGATTTTAAGAATTTGTTTTTTTGAGATTTTTAAGGCTTTATTCACCAGAAACATTGCAAGGAAACTACATCTAGCCAATCAGACATTTTGATTTTTTTTTTTTTTGGTTGAGAACTGAGGTTTAATTCAAACACAGTTAAACTAATGCTCTGTAAGCAATCACCGGTGGCATTTTAAATAGGAAAAGCCTATCTGATTAGAACTCAACACTCTGGCAATATCACTTTAGATAGGTAGGAGACAAGATTCTAACTCAATTTCTTTGTGCATTTAAACCTTTTAGTGGCACTTGATGATGCAATGATTTGGGGTGCCCAATTAGAAACATGCACACTTAGAATGTGTGTGCAAAAAGTCAGCAATACAGTCACCCCAAAACTAAGGAGATGGATTTTGGCCTACCCTTGGGGATTATGGAGAAAAGAATACCTGTCGCTGTCTGTATCATTGCTATAAACTCCATGTCTAAGAGTGACTTTCTTGCACGTGGTGTACATTATATACGAGCATGGAGGATGATTCAAGTATTTGAACATAAGCAGTGCTTTTTATTTTTTCCCAAAGGAATCCTGGCTAGCACCAACAGTACATTAGGGGTTGAGAATTTGGCAGAGCTTTGACACTCTATTACCCTTATTCTCTTCGTGGGCTTATTTTTAAGCTGTGTATATGATACCGAATGTAATGAAGCAGACCATTCAAATGGGAAGAGAAAATCAACTTTACCATCAAGCGCTATGAATTTTTTAGATCTGTTTACAGATAGGCTACTTTATATGAAATAATAGCAATAAGGAAAATTAAAATAATAACACAACTGATCAATTTTTCCATGTATTGCATCAAGAATCCTTGTAACTGGCAACAGCTCAGAGCAAAAACAGTCAACAAATTATACCTAGGGACATCAGAAAGATAATACTTTTCAACCCTGTGTTCTAGGACGCTCTCCTCCCCACCGCTATTACTGACAATGTGTGCTTCAGGGATTGGGATTTCTATATATATCCTGTATTTATCTATTGCCAGCTTTTTACCTACATTCGTTTATTTGAACTCTCAAGGAAAAGAGATGTGATATGCGTGGTTGGCCCTTGAACTAAGCAAACTCCAGCTGGTTGAACTAAATTTAAATGCAAGTAGTCTAGGCAGTGCTATAACCGCAAAGCCCTGTGCTGATGGTACAAGCAGAAGCTGTAGAGAGTGCACCCAGTCGTGCTGTCCACCTGGCAATTGTGAGTGAGGCTGGGTGAGTGGGCAGGAGGAAGCTGTTGTGCATCAGTAAATGGCTAGCTGGGGCCATCCATATGTAGGAGTAGCTCAGCAGACCTGGCTCTTTAATGCTTATAATCAGTGCAAAGTACTCTCTTTAAAACTGCCCTTATTGTTCAAAGGCCTGGAGGTCAGCAGCTGTGGAATCACACCCTGGCTACTACCTTTTACTGAAAATGTCCAGAGTTTAGGTTAACAGTGTTTTCAGAAGTAATCATGTCTACAAAAACTCTCTAGACCCAATGTTAATAGAATTCCACCCAAAGGTAAATTAGTATGGCTCTCTTCTAACTGTGATTTTGAACAAGCCATTTAACCATCTAAAACTCAGTGTCCTCTTTTACAAAGTGTGCAAGTGAACTAGCTGATCTATATTCTCCCTATCAAGCTTTAAAATTAGATAATTCTAGTTAAAATAAATACAAAAGGATTTCATATATTTTGTACAGCAAACCATCCAAAAACATCCAAAGAGGGCCGGCCCGGTGGTGCACTGGATAAGTGCGCCGCTTGGGAAGCGCGGCAGCGCTCCCGCCCGAGGGTTTGGATCCCGCATGCAGACCGGTTCCCGCTCACTGGCTGAGCGAGGTGCAGGCGCAACACTGAGGGTTGCAATCCCGTTGCCGGTCCCCGGTCCGGTACGGGGGCAACACTGAGGGTTGCGATCCGTTGCCGGACACGGAAAAAAAAAAAAAAAAAAAAAAAAAAAAAAAAAAAAAAAAAACATCCAAAGAAGCATGAACAACTGGCCTGTGTTCTCCACATGATCACACACTCCCAGCTTCTCACCTGCTGTTTGAGAACTTCCATTTCTGTTCTCATCTCCTCATGGCTGCACTCCACTTTACACCTCCCCCAACAGTCCTCAGAAAATGAAGAACACTCGATTTTCAGGGCATCCTGAAGAGCCTGTGTTATAAGATAAGCACACTGTTGATCTGAGATTTACCACATTGTATAAATTCCCCTATGACTGTTACAATCGTAAATGAACCCACAAGGCAGAATTTCATTTCTAGTGCTGCTTACATGACTGAATAACTTTCTTCTTTCTAGTTTTCTGCATATATGTTTTTTCTTTCTTTTTTTTTTTAGGATCTCTGACTTTTCTCCATGATGATGCTTATGTTACTCATCCCCCATTATTATTTAGGGGGCCTTGATGTTGAACCCCCCTCCAGCCAAATATGAAAGAAAAACAAACATGAGTAATTCAAAAAGTTCATGGAAAGATTTGTATTATCTTTTAATTCTATTTTTCCATGGATTTTTTTGAAGTACTTGTATCTACAGCCTTTCTCAAAATTATTTGCTCCAATCATTTTAGGGAGTATCGGAGGTAGCAAAACACACCCATCCCTGGACCCTGCCCAGAGATTCTGAATCAGTAGATCTGAGGGTAGAGTCTAAGAGTCTGCATTTCTCAAAAGCTGATGTTGCTGGTCCCAGATGACGTTTTGAGTAATATTCTCTTACATAGCCATACCATGGCCCCCAGCAGGAGAAAGGGAAATCCACAGAAATGCGAGCCCATACAGGCTCGCTATCTGTTAGATCTGTTGTGCGGCTCTTCTGCTCAGTCCTCCTTCAGCACGTCATGCTCTGGCCTAGCCACTTTCATATTTATTCTCCATTGAAACATCTACTAACTCACTACAGGGTGGAGAAAGTGCTCTAATTTCTTTTTTTTTTTTTTTCCTTTTTGTCTTTTTTCGTGACTGGCAACGGATCGCAACCCTCAGTGTCGCGCCCG